AATCAAGGTGTCTCAAAGGGATTTTAAATTATATGGAGCATACTAGGTTGTTGCATGTAAGTTGAACAATTCTTTATACAACATTTATTTGTTGTCAATTGAGATGCCAAATGAAAATATGTACTCAGTGCCAAATGATGAACAATACCTATGGTAAATCAAAATTGTGCTACTTGCTAGAAACTTCAAGATGAGAATGAACAATGAAGGCATACCTGGTGAGCCCTGCAGACCAAATCTAGATCATGTTTCTCAAGGAACTCTGCAACCTTATCAGCTCCGAAAGTGTATGACACGCCCCTGTCATTCTCACCCCAGCCATCAACATCTTTATCAGGGTCTGACCATAGCAGATCACAGAGGAGACCATGGTCCGGAATATCCACAGGACGGGCAATGTTACGTATCTGGTCCATGTTCTTTAAATCAGGTGATAAACCCCCATGCATGCACAGGATCTTGTCATCAATAAGTGCAGCCACAGGAAGGCAGTTAAAACAGTCAGTAAAAACCTTCCAGAGACGAACATTGAACCTCCTCTTGCATTCATCAAAGAATCCATAGATTCTGTTGATAGAGGCACATTCATGGTTTCCCCTAAGGAGAAAGAAGTTCTCCGGGTACTTAATCTTGTAAGCAAGGAGAAGGCATATCGTTTCAATACTCTGTTTGCCACGATCAACATAGTCACCCAGAAACAAATAGTTCGCCTCTGGTGGGAAACCACCATACTCAAATAATCGAAGAAGATCAGAATATTGGCCATGGATGTCCCCTGTCAGTGAGTAAATAGCATATCAGTTAAATGCCAAACGTACTTTTAAATCATCATATTGTTGTAAATTCAGACGGCAGATTTGGCAACAGAGTTTACAATATTAATCCTGAGGTAAATCAGGAGTCTATTCGTGAAAAAAATACTGTGGTATAATATATGCCTGCTAATATAACATGCACTCAACACACTAACACAGTACACAACGTGGGAAATTAGCCTGTTCATGGTACTGTTTATATTATAAAGCTATACCTTCAGCTGGACATATAAATAATTAAATACCAATCATATATTAGAGGAAGCCAATTCGAAATGTTACAAGAAACTATGCCCACTTAAAAAAACTACGTTCAGCTCAGCTGCAAATTCCCGAAATAAACGAACACAATCTGGATTTTGCAATTTGGTGCAAACAGATTATCTGCTCCAGCTTGGAATCTGTGGACTCCAGTACTGATCCCCATTGCATCAGCACTTCCATAATGTGGAAGTATCGCTCCATTTGTGTGTGGCTGACAAGTATCACACCGCAACTGTGATTATGGAGTGAAACATGCATTCTGAGACATTCGTGTATGTTCTGTGCGTGCTAGCTGAGGAAAAATGAATGAACATGATCTCACTCTCCCCTTTTAAAATCAAAGAATCCGCAGGAACAATTTCCTAGGCTTCAGAACAGGTCAATTTGTCAAGATTAGATAAAGTATGCTGCACTGCTGCTACAGAAAGTTTCATGGGCTTTCAAGTGAAGGGATACACGTTGCTCAACTGCCGTGTTTATTTTTTGTTGTTGGGGAAAGCAATAGCTTAATCTGTTCACTTCTCTAATAGTATGAACAGCCTATCTCTCAAACAGTCCTTAAGTGCTAATATAGTAGTATTGTATTGGTAAAAGTCTAAAAGAACATGTCGCCACGAAGAGCTTTAACAGTTAGCACCATTTTATATATATAAAGAAACGAAGACCAGAAAGCGATTTGAGGTTTGACATTCAGAACCAACTCCAGAAGGTCTGCCACGCTTCTCTCAAGACCGACGAATTCATCAGCAGGTCAACGAAAAACATGAGTAAGATGAATCGTACAGACAGTTCGCTGAGCCTCCCCAGAGAGAACATCTGTTCAATCCAAGATGCTATACTAGAACAGCGAACCCAATAGAACTTCCTTTCGCCAGAAGGTAGCAGGAATTCCTATACCACCAAGCAAAACTAAAAGGCAGCGGCTTCAGACCACGGGGACGCCTAAATTAACTTAGCACAGAAGAGCCATCACGGGCAGGCCGAATTCGAAAGCATCCAGAGGGGCGGCTGGCCACGCACGAAGCAGCCGCACATGACACGGCGCAAGGCGGCCTACGGACGGAGCGCAAGGCTATCGAGGACAGACAGCAGAAGCGGGGCGCGCACGAGGGGGGAGGGAACGGTTAGGCAGGAAGCGGGCGTCCTTACCGCAGACTTTGATGGGGGCCTCGAGCTCGAGGAGGTTGGGCTGGCTGAGGAAGACGTCCTTGGCGGCGGCGCAGAGGCGGCGGATCTCCGCGTCGGAGAGCTGCGCGGGGCGCACCGTCCGGCCGCCGCGCGCCTCCAGGAGCCGCCGGATCACGTCGTCGAGCGCCGCCGCGTCCATCGCCCGGGCGCCTCGGTGGGGGTGAGGGTAAGCCCTGGTCGGGCGGCCGCGGGGAGCGGTCGGGCGGGGCGGCGGCGGCGGCGGCTGGCTGGATAAACCCTAGCCGCGCGTGCCTATTTGGTTCCGCCCGAGCCGACGGGTGGAGAGGGGAGGGAGGGAGGGAGGGGGCAACGGAAAGAAAACGCGTAGAGAGGCGAGAGCGGGGGGTGGGGTGGGTCGAGATATTATTGTTGCGTTGCGTGGTTTGGAAACCGAACCCGCGGAGGGCGGCAGTCAGGGCCGGACGTGTCACTGACTTGGACTGGCTCTAGGGCTAGAGCCCGGTCGGCACGGCCTGTCCTCGTCGTCTAGAGAGCTTTGTTTTTCTTCTCGTCATCTTCTTTTTCTTATTCAATTTTTTTTCTCGTCCTCTAGGGAGCTAGGAATAATAATTTTTGAAAGGTTTAACGGACTCTGAGAACAACTCCAACGCGCCGAGCGCGTTTGTCCCGTGTGTTCGTTTGAGTCGAAACGAAAAAAAAAAAACCGTGAGGACCGACATAAACAGACAGGTGTCTGTTTTTCTGTCCGTCGCGATTCATTTTCGACTCACATTTGGGCCGGGTTTACGTCGACGTGGTCACGTTCGGATGTGTGCGACAGCCACCTTTGTCCTCTCCTTGGCCCACCCGCTAATGACACATCATCCATTCTTCCCCCGTAACACTTGACACCCCCGGCCATGCCGCCCTCATCACCGCTGCCGCCCACTTTCGTTCTCTTGGACGCTACCCAGGCCACCACCCCTCTCCACCCACTTTCCCCACATCCACTCTTGACGGCGTCAGTGGCCTCTTGTGGCCTCTTCTCGACGTCGTCGTAGCACAGGAAGGCACGGTTTGGCAGCGACCCTCGCCACCATGGCTACTGACCTCACGCTTCACGAATGTCGACACCACTCTCGCCTCCAGTTCGACGAGCCTGCGGCTTGTACGGGGAGGGACGATGACTCTTCACCGGCCGCTACCCCATCACGCCCGCAAGGTGTTCGGCGTTTTGCCCGCAAGGTACCATGGATAGTGGGGATGAATTATTCAATTACTTCATGTGTTCGTTGGACAATTAATCCTCGCACGATGAGGATTTTGTTGTGGCGACTATGGTCGTCACTGACCACATTGCTAGGCAGCGGACGAGGTTTAGAGGATCGATCCTGGGCCATTCTCCAGCATTGAATCGCAACAGAGAGAGTGGCCATTGCCTACTCTTCACCGTTTTTTCACTACGCGACCCCACTTTACAATCCCAAACTTTTCCGTCACCAATTTCGTATGGTGAGACATGTGTTCAACCGTATTCGGGATGGTGGCTTATGATGAATCGGGCTTCACATGATCTCTGGATTTTGCACTCTTTTTTCGGCATAACTAGTTCTCACAATGATATCAACGTGCTTCAGCGCTCTCCGATGTTTAGAAGGCTTGCAACTGGCCAGAGGTCAACTTTGAGATCAATCCACCACTACAACAAGGGATACTACCTAGACGATGGTATATATCCTTAATGGCCAACTCTTGTGAATACAATCCCCAATCCGGTAGGAAAGAAGAGGGCTATATTTGCCCAAGCACAAGAGAGTGCTAGAAAGGATGTGAAGCTTGCTTTTGGTGTGCTCCAATCTCGAAGGACCAACGTTCAACACCCTACTAGAACATGAAGTCAACGCAAGATGTGGAATGTGATTACTGCTTGTGTGATAATGCACAACATGATTGTCGAGGATGAGCGTGATGACAGCATCTTCGACCAAGGATTGATTCTCAGGATGAAAATGTTGAGTCTTAGCATGGACCAGCAATGTTTGCACAGTTCATCCGACGCATACAGAAATGCGCGATCGGGCAAGTCACATTTAACTTCAAAACAATTTGGCTGAACATACGTGGACTCACCTTGGCAATCAATAGATATATCGGCTTGTTGTAAAACTATAAGATTCTTATTTGGTAGTAAATTATTTATTATTGTCATATAAAGACTGTGATTTATTTGGTTGTAAACTATTTAGTATTGAACTATGGAAAAATTGTGTAAATTTGGCCCGCTACCGACCGGACGAACCAAATGAATCGGCTGGTTGGATGCACTGGCTAGTAAAACGCTGACAAGGGCGGACGCCGCCTCTACGACCGATCTAAACAAAGAAAAGATGGACCAAATCCACGTCATTTTGGATCGGCGCATCGGAGTTTACTCTGACATAGAAAATTGGCAGGACTGGACGTCTCATTTTTTTTACATCACGGTGTGTTTAGTTTAGTGTATTTTTAACATAATACAGAATTACAGATGCAAGCACTTAAATATACGCGCATACCCTCATTCTTGTTAACGCACACATATATACCCTACCCATATGAGCTCTTTGAGAGACTGTGATGGCATATTATCTTAAGATTTACAAAGTCACCATGTGTTAATGTGTCATTTAAATATAGAGATTTTGTTTGGGGTTTTTTCCCTAAACCTAAGTCTCCGTCTTTAATTTTCTGGGACGAGGTTTAATCAGGCATTTCTTAAAAAGAAAAAAGTTTTAATCAGGCAAAGGTGTTGCCCATTCATTAAGCAACATGTTGTGATTGGCCCCTGCGGTGGTGGATTTCCACGCGATGCTGGGTGTCCCAGCAACATGGGCAACTGTTTGGAGAAAGATGATGTTTCCGTCGACGAGGCGCCTACGGTCGTAAAATCTCAAGATAGTATGCCGGTTCGGTCTCTAGAAGGTGCTCATAAAAATAGGATATATGTGTATGCATTCATAGAGGTAAGTGTCTGCCCGTATATATGAGCGTTCGTGTCTGTATTGTATTAAAAAAACTCCTAAAAAATGTGAAAATGAGACGCGTGCCATTAGGGCGGCCGTCGGCTATTGGACTCGTGCGCTACAAACCGTATGATCAGGCGTTCGATGTGACCCACCGGTTTGCAACATAGACAATGTTGTCCTTGTCGTTTGAAACATATAGGTCATGTTACGCTCGCCCATCTGTGATGTGTCAGCTTGTCCAACCGTATGTGGACATCTGCAACATGGACCATGTTGCGGCGTGGGCCTTTGGTCACCAATTGCAACGTACCCCCACATGCAGCTGGACAAGCTGATGTGACACAAACCAGTGAGTGCAACATGGCTTATGTTGCAAACTAGCAGCTTGCACTAAACACTGATCGGGCGGCTTGTAGCGTACGAATCCATCGGAGGGCAACAAATCTTTTCCTCGTGTCAGCTAGCCGACCTGTAGCCTTATCTATTAAAAACATGTGGATTCAACTCTTTCCGCACATTGACATCAGGAGAAAAGGTGACCGCTTTGGTTTTTCGCGGTTCACCTTGACATGCCTAGGATCATCATGGTTCTACTGATAGTCGAATAAATGTGACAGAGTGTTGCATGGGTAGTGGCAGATTCATAGACTGAGATTTGTCGGGGCGCCGGGCTACGACAGAGCTCGATTGTGCTGCTCCCGTTGGTAACTAGGGAGGGAAGGTAGCCTACATAGCCGGTGACTCAGGGTGGCCACTTATGCTCGCACGAGTGGTGGATCCGCTGCTGGCAGGTGCGGCCTGGTCTCCAAACCAAAGCTTGATGATGGCCCAAGCAGGCAACCAACATCAGTGAAAGAGTAGTTTTTGCAAACGTGGGTGGCAGTATCGGTGTCATGCAATCAGGGGCGGATCCAGCCCAGCGGGCCGCCCGGGCCCCCTTTGTATACTGTAGTAATTGCTACAGTATTGTGCTACAATATACAAAGGAGTTGGGCATCATGCCCCGGCCCCCTCCCCCGGCTTGGGGCCTAGATCTGCCACTGCATGCAATCACAACTATCACAAAGGGTCATTTCTCAAAAAAAAACTATCACAAAGGGTCGTGTGACTATCACTTTATAGTGAGCAAATCCTTGATGAGACTAGGTTATAGAGGATGGCCGGAGGACAACTTTGCATCTCAGCTCTGCTTGTGAACACCAGATCTTAGTAGCCTCTGATCTAGGGATGTGACTTGCTATGTTGAATGAGATAGGCGAAGCTTGTTGACTATTCCACAATGATACTCTAAAGTCATCTAATAGACTTGGAATTTGGTCATGAAGATGTATTGGTGAGGGAGGTGGAAGTATGGATCCCCGCTTGGAGTGCATTTTTAGCTTTCTTATCATCCATCGTTTGTGTCCTTGTGAGTAGCATCTCATGCATAGAGCAGCGTCGAAGGTTACAAGTCATGACTTTGTACATTTTTTCTTTGAACCGGGCGTACCCCTTTCCATTAGCAAGCAACGTAAATACAACAGTATCCGAATACAACCAGGGAGAGGGAAAGAAGGTAGCGAGTTCAACGCACTGCCAGGGAACCCACTATGCTCGTCCGCCATCGGAACGAGCACTATGGGGCGAAAACCTGACAGCACCTACTAAGTTCAAGTCTATCCTATTACAGGCCAGATAACCAGGGGGAGGAACACAAAAGTGAGACCCACAAAGCAAATTTCTCCACACAGATCACGCCCTAGAGACACAACATGGTGAAGACTTGACCGAGGCACGGCACACCCATCCATCAAGGAGTCGCCAAAAAGCACGTTGTAGCTTGATCACGATCACCAAGGGAGCACCTCTCTCGCATCTTCTGCCGGCTGCCTGGTCTTCTCGCACATCTCCATCAGCCTGGCCGTGCTCGATCTGATCATCTCAGTCCCCTGCTTCAGCTTCATTGCTTCTTCCTCCGGCTGCAGACCTGCTCAGTACAGAAGAAAAGAACACGCCGAGAACACAATCTCAAAAGGAGATTTGATCAAATTTTTCTCAAAAGTAGCTTTGTTCCGAGCCAACCAAATAGCCCAAGTTACAGCAGCCAACCTGACAGTATAAAATCTGGCGCCATTAGGTAGGAACATATTGCACCATACATAAAATTGCCAGGCATTCTTTGGGCAGAGTTCAGTCCCCGGGACTACTCCAATTG